AGTTCCAACTTCCGAGCCTCCCAAATGCGCCTAGAGGGAGAGAGGCAGCATGGATTCACGGCTCAGCCTCAATCGATGTACATGGGCTTACATATCAAAGCGTGTCAGGGGTCGAACCCACCGGTGAAAAAAGGTTTCAGTCAGCCTGGGAACAGGAGAAGAAACAACAAGAACTCGACGCGACATCGGAGCGAACTGTCAAAACCTGTGCACTGTGTGCGCCGTGTCGTGCCGCTTTCCGTGCCACACCATCAGCACTCATTCGCTCGCCTTTGCCCCAACGTAGGTTATCTGACCTGTCCTGCTAAGGCACTTACGCGCCCTTCGTCTTGCTGGTTGCCAAAGATAGAAGTCGGCAGACAAGGCCACCCTCAGGGAATGAGAAGCAGCCGAGACCTTCTGCTGGTCTTATGCCCGAGCCGAGCGAGACTGTGCATCGTTGCTGTCCATTGATCTTGTGTGGCTCAACGGGCACCATGAAGCCACAACCGTTCTTGACGAACCTGGCCTAGCCACTGCCCTAGCCACATTGCATGACTGGGTGCCTGTGGGTTTTCACCGGTCTACCTACCTACAAGGTGCCAGGCAAGAGGTGAGAACGCAGAGATCCGAGAAGATCAATGACCTGGACTGCGTGGGCTTTCCTGTCCTGCCGGCTAGGATTCTCTGGGCTGGGTTTCGTGGGGCGACTCTTTCCACTTCACATTATCAGAAGAGATTTTGACACACGAGCAACAGATGTCCTAATTATAGATTGTCCTCACGGGTTTGCTGAAGCGTCCTTTTCTCTGGGTTTCCTCTGGGTTTCCTTGCAGTCCTAGTAATGTTATGTGAGGCATCTTCTGTTTGTCAACAAAGGCTTGGTCAGAGCCGCCTCCCACCCATCTTCCCTGCGCAAGCCGGTGGAAGTGACGACAGCTGCTGGGTACATGCGACACGCATCAGTCGTGCGGCATCAAGGCCATAAACCTTCAATCTCTCCATTGGCAGCTCCTCAGTCTCACCAGAGGGCGGAGAGATGTGCCGTGTTCTTTTCATTACGCACCAAGAATCCATAGGCGTTTCTGGACGCACCTGCTTTATCATGGCACTGACGATGAACGGAGCGTACACTATCATAATGAAACCGGTGGAATTGCTGCCTCAAAAGGGAATAGCCGTGCTGCCAGGCGTTGAGACGCTGAGGTAGCGCGCAAGATCCAAGCCCGCGGGCTCCGCGCGGCCGAATCTCTTGGGAAGTTTCCGAGAGACTGGTGCGCGGGCTCCAAGTCCCTCAAGCTCGATCCGCGCGCTGGCGGCATGAGGCCGAGCCGGAAATAGAGAAATAGCGAAACCGTCCAACGCCGAAAAGGGAGCTCGCGGCGCCCATTGCTTCCGAGTGGTTGATAATATGGTACAATGAAGCGGAAACCCATGCCTTGATGAGAAAAAAAAAAGACTCCTCTTGCTTCTACTTCGTGCGCTTCTGCTATACGTATCAGCGATACTGGCAGATCGGGGCTGCAGGGTCGTGTAGAGGATACACATCGTCGCACACCTAGTACGGGGTAAATCCTCTGCCGCCGCGTCCGCGGTATCCGCCTCTGTAGCCCCGCGGGTTGAAGCCACCCCGGCCACCGAAGCCGCCGCGGCCGCCGCGCATACCACCCCGACCGCGTCCACGGGTCATGCCGGGAATGTTGGTGCGCTTGGGGACGACCTTGATGTTGCGGCCCTTGAATACGCTCTCGTTAAGAACGAGGGCCTGCGCGACGAGGCTGGGTTCGGTAAACTCAACATAGGCGTATCTGCAATGGGGCTTGATTAGCGACGGTAGGCCACCTGGCGGGAGTAACAATGCAAACGCACCCCTTGGGCTGGCCGGTGAACTTGTCGAGCAGAATCGTGACTCGGTTGATGGATCCGCAGCTCTGGAAGTGAGCCTGGATCTCCTCGGGCGAGGCGGAATAGTCGACGTTGCCGACGAAGATACTGCGGCTGTCAATATCCTCCTTGTTATCCGAGATGTCCTGGGTCTGGGTATCCAGAGTGGCCTGCATCTCTCGCAGCTTGGCAGCCTCCTCTTCCATCTCGGCAACACGGCGCTTCATGGCCGAGATTTCTTCCTAAACCCTGAGGGTCAGTCTCACGATGCCTCCTCTTGTTCCTGCTAGCTGCGCTGCAAGGATTTGCCCACCTCATCGTGACCATCATCCTCAGCGGCCTGTTGGTTGTCGGCCGGGGTGTCTTGTTGCTCGACATCGACGGGCAGCTCTTCAGGCTGGGTCTCGGGCTTGACGTCGGCCATGCTTGCGACGGTGTGGCTGCGCGGGTAGGATCGGTACGGCAGGGAACGAAGTTATCCGTCGGAAATTTTCTACAGTCCAAAGTGTAAGATCATCTGGCATGCTCTCAGGTTTTGGTGCTCGTGATTGAGGTGGGAGGATGGGGCGGGGGCAAGCAGGAGTGATGCAAGGGAAAGCTCGCGAAAGAGGTCGATGCGGTCCGAGAGCTACATGTCCCATTGGAAGGGTGTGATCGCCGACAGTGATGCACGGAAGGTTCCGTTGTCTTATGGAAAACTCACCTTGATGCAATCTGCAACCCAAGTGCGGGCGAAGGCAAGGTTCGGCAAAGGTAGGTGACAGCGTTGGGCAAGGCTGGTTGATGGTGACGGGTTTGAGCCGTTACTGGGACGAGGTTGATGGTTCGCGTCGTGCGTGCCAAACCCGTTGGTGACGAGCAAGCACCTCTTATCGATAAGCTGCACACGCCCAACAGTGACTCAAGCTGCCCCACCACTGTAATGCCCGCCCATTTCCAGGTCGCTTCACCTTGAAGTAATTATAAGGCTGAGTGAGGGTGTCCTGGCATTCCCTTGCATCGCCCCTCGCATTCGAGGCATGACTATCACCCTGCACTCTGAAATGGCAGTTTTATCAGAACCACGTGTCAGCGTCTAACCTGTCCCTCTGAAAAATGGCCAGGAAGCAGCATCGACCCCGTTTCCAAAGGCAGAAGTGCTAAGTAGAGGTAAGTTGAGGCTACTGTCAGAACATGGTTATCATAATGTCGCCAGAGAGATACCTGAGTGAGGCAGCTCAAGGTCAGAGTGAAGTGGTCTGCCGTAACTTCATCACTGTAGTAAATGGCTAAATACAGGTTTAGAGAACATTTGATGAATGAGCATCTGCGGCCTGAGGTGCCATTTGCAGCCCTATACACTTGCTACCGCAGCCTTCGTGTTCCAAGGCAGCCCCCTGAGCCTCCCGACCGAGGTTCTTCATAACGAGATGGATATGAGTGTTGTGGACGGAGACACCCAACGCCGTTGA